AATAAGGTCATTCTACGTGGTGATAGAATCGATAACATATATATGGTTAACTTAGACAAATCTCCTTCCGGCTTTGCTAAGTGCCTCATGAGTAAAGAGGAAGACACTTGGTTATGGCACCGAAGGGTAGCTCATATGAACATGAACCTTTTGAACAAATTGGTTTCACAAGACTTAGTAATTGGCATTCCAAAACTTAAGTTTGAAAAAGACGCCATATGTGATGCATGTCAAAAGGGGAAGCAAGTTCGGGCTTCGTTTAAGTCTAAGAACGTTGTTTCAACGTCTAGACCGCTTCAAGTTTTGCACATGGATCTCTTTGGTCCTTCTAGAACGAAAAGCTTTGGTGGCAATTACTTTGCGTTTGTGATTGTCGATGACTACTCTAGGTTTACATGGACCTTGTTTCTAACTCATAAAAGTGAGGCATTTCATGTTTTCAAAAATTTCTTAAAGAAAGTTCAAAATGAAAAAGAATCAACCATAGTAGCCATAAGAAGCGACCATGGGGGATAGTTCGAACGAAATCTGTTTTCAGATTTATGTGACGAACTTGGCATTGATCATAACTTCTCAGCCCCACGTACACCACAACAAAATGGAGTGGTGGAACGTAAAAACAGATGTCTCGAAGAGATGGCTAGAACTATGATCAATGAGGCAAAAATCCCTAAGTATTTTTGGGCGGATGCCGTGAGTACCGCGAGCTACGTGTTGAACCAAGCCGTCATTCGACCGATACTCATGAAAACGCCCTACGAACTGTACAAAGGGAGAAAGCCAAACCTTTCCCATCTTCGAGTCTTTGGTTGCAAATGTTTTATTCATAACAATGGTAAAGACAATTTGGGCAAATTTGATGCTAAGTCGGATGAAGGAATTTTTCTGGGTTACTCATTACGTAGCAAGGCCTATAGAGTCTTCAATAAACGTACCTTGACTATCGAGGAGTCTCCTCATATTGTATTTTCCGAAGATAATACTCGCTTGGCGAGAAAGGCTATTTGTGATGATCTTGCAGATTCTTTAGAGAGAGTACACCTTGAAGACGATGAAGAAGACACACCATTATACACCAACCCGCAACCACAATCTGAGGAAACACCTCAAGTGATGGTCGAAAATGAGGACCAAGCAGACGGAGAAGATCAAGAGGAAGCCCAGGAACAAGAGGAAACCGAGCTTCCCATCGCTTGGAGAACGCACAGGAACCATCCACTTGACCAGGTAATCAGCAGCATCAACCGCGGGGTAAGTACTCGTAACTCTCTTAGGGACACCGTAAGACACATGGCTTTTGTATCTCAAATTGAACCTACAACCATTTCCGAAGCAAGAAACGATGAACATTGGACCTTGGCTATGCAAGAGGAGCTAAACCAATTCAAACGGAATGACGTTTGGGAATTGGTGCCAAGGCCCGATGATCGTACGATTATTGGTACGAAATGGGTGTTCCGTAACAAACTTGATGAAAATGGAATAATCACTAGAAACAAAGCTAGGCTCGTAGGTAAAGGCTACACTCAAGAAGAAGGCATTGATTTTGAAGAAACGTATGCACCTGTAGCACGTTTAGAAGCTATTCGTTTACTACTTGCTTTTGCTTCGTCTATGGATTTTAAACTTTATCAAATGGATGTTAAGAGTGCCTTCCTCAATGGTTTTATTCAAGAGGAAGTGTATGTTGACCAGCCCCCGGGGTTTGAGGACTTTGAGTTTCCCGATCACGTCTTCAAACTCCAGAAGACGTATGCACCTGTAGCACGTTTAGAAGCTATTCGTTTACTACTTGCTTTTGCTTCGTC